TTTTGATTATTCGCCATGTTTTTAACAAATATCACTAAAAATAAAAGAATTGAAAGATGTTGTCAAATTTCTGTCAAACACTGAAACTATTATGTGAAAGATGTTTTTATAGTGAAATGCAAAAGCAGCAATCATGATGGATGTAAAAGTAATAGGACCTTAGGAAAGCATTGCTGCTCCCCTTTAAGCTCCTTTGGGTTATTGCAACATCAGTGATCGTCATACCTTCTTCTTTTGCCTGTTTGTCTGCAGAGCATGTGTCGTCCTTGGGGTTGTGTTCGTTCTCTCCTCTATTTGTATTCTTGGAAAGGCCATCCACGATCTGGCTACCAGGATGCCCCCCAAAGTGGTGAGGCTGCATGCACATACACTATATGGACACAGACGCTGGCTCACACTGCACCGGCACTTTCTTTGTGTAATTTAGATAAAGGAAAGTTACAGCTTTGACTTAATTGTGATTTTTGCTCTCCCTAACCTGAAGTATTTTACATAATGCAACCAGATATTACTATTACTGTTGTCAGGTCTGACAAACCCTCAAATATATATTCTGAACACTGATTTCATAACTCTGCATAACTTTCCAATATTGACTGATACATTTTCATTGCATAGTGAGTGGGTTTAAAAAGCCTGTCTTAATTCTTGCATAGAGAACAATTTAAAGCAATGGATTCAAAGGATGCGTGGGCGTGTGATTTGGCATTTATTTGGCAGAAACTGCAAACAGATTCAGAGTAAAACTGAAAATATATTGAAAGATAAATAGACACTCTCCACTAGTCACATTTATGTGGTCTAATAACTGAACTCTGAAATAGCTCAGCCAATCACAGTGAAGTAAGACCAGCTCAACAAATAGAAGAACATTTCTCTGGGAAACAGCCCGCTCTGATGGCATTGTGAAAATTACTTTTTCCAATTTGGGATGCCACAGAAGACATCGTGCTCTAATATAGTGTATCTAATCTGTTTTCAGTACATGTCATGACAAGTAAACTGAGTTCAATAAGGAAAAAACTGTTTACTTCAGAACTGGCTGTGGCTCTTTTCTAATGGTGATCTTTTCTGCTATTATGAGATGAATAATGTTTTAATGTTTGGCCTTTGTGTCTTTGTGCACTGATAATACATTTTTTTTTAAAGAAAAAGTACAAATGCATGTGACTAGAGTGTGTGGATCACAACACATACTGTACTCACACATTCACATGCATGCACCAATCAGGCATGATATTATGAGCACCTGCCTAATATTGTGTTGTGCTGTGGTATCTGCACCAAGATGTTAGCAACAGTCCTGTTAGCTGTGAGGTGAGGCCTCCATGGATTGGACTACTTTATTCATCACATCCCAGAGATACCCAATTTGATTGAGATCTGGGGGATTTGGAGGCCAAGTCAACAACTCAAACTGGTTGTTGTGTTCCTCAAATCATTCCTGAACCATTTCTGATTGGTGGCACATTATCCTGTTGATAGAGACCACAACCATCAGGGAGTATTGTTTCCATGAAAGGATGTTTATGATTTGCAATGAGGTACACCATGGTGTGTCCTGTTCCCAGGGGGTCAGCATGGGCACCCTGACTGGTCTGCAGCTCCATACACAACAAACTCTGAAGCTTTGTGTATTCTGGCTTTCTATGAGAACCAGCATGAACTTTTATTGCAGCTGTAGCTCAGTGACCGTTGGCAACCCGTGACCCTGTTGCTAATAGAAACGGACTGTTGCAGACCGTGAACACCTCACAGAGCTGCAGTTCTGGAGATAGATATGTCTATAGATATAGACATAAACAGGATGTTTTTTGTGTGATCTGTGTATATTTGTAATGATGGATAATGATTTATTTTCTAGTGCCATACACACAAACAGAGCAGCACACACACACATCACTGTGAGTAAGGTTTCTTTTTATAGCCCTCTGCTGCTGTTCTTCTGACGTCAGAGCTTATGTCTCCCTCCACCTGACGTTTGTTTGCTTTTTGTTTTTGACACAGACATGCGCAGACACACACACACACAGACACTCTTTTTCTTTAATGCCAGCTCCACTTCCCCCACCACCGCTCTCTGGGGGTGTAGGAGTATGAATAAGGTCCCAAAATAGTCTCTTCTTTCTGTTGCTGGGGTACAGCCCAGCTTTCTCACCATCAGACTGAGAATGTTTCTCACTCTCAGCTTTGAGACCCTCTTTGTGTGTAAATGATTTAACCCTAACCATGTGTCCATTTCACTAACCAGAGAAGAGGGAGACCAAAAACAAATTCTCCCATTGTACCCCAGTTTAGTTAGTTCAACGATGTCTCTGAGAAAGAACAAACAGGCAATGCAACTAGTCTTGTACCACTTCATTTCAATGCTTGTGTTGATTTAAAATTAAAAGTAAATTATGTGCATAAGACTGGGACACAATAAAAAAAAAAAAAACAGACAAAGCAAAAGCAAATCAAGCAAACAGCTTTTCCTCACAGTGTGCAGGTTCAGGTTTCCTGGATGAGTAGCTCTGCATTAAAAATAGATACAACAAAATTTAAATGTCTTGCACAGCAGAAGATATTTCCAAACATCCCATGATGTTTGGAAATATTTTGGATATAGGGCAGGAAAAATATCATATGCAAAGACTGCAGTAGAGTTGTGCCTGTGCTGTAAAGCATCTCAACTAAGTTATTAAACCACTTACATGCAAACTGCAGTTTAATTAATGCATGAATGACATGAAAAACAATACAGTGATTGCTAATGACATTCGTCCAACATCAACTCAGATGTCCATAAAGGTTACCAGCGTGTCCACGTATCTATCCAGCTCACAAAGATGCTCTGGAATCACCAGGGTGCAAGAAATGGAGTGAGGCACTTTTTGATTTTGGGGTATACACCTATTTCTAGTGTACAAACACCCTTTTTGTCTCAGAAACATTGATTTATTAAAATTAAATAACATAAATGCAGCACAATCTAAAAGTCTTCCTTTTGGATAATAACAGATGAGAAAAGTATCTGCAACAAAGTTCTGCCAGTACCAAAATCTTTGTTTTCTAAGCTGGTGTATTTTAACATTTCTCTAAAACAACTTCCCAACACCAAAACGTTGCAAATGCTACAAAACAAGAATTTATCACAGGACTATTCTTTGGGCTTTGTTCATTTCATAATCTGTCAAGTGCATGCATGTAACTGTTCAAATGTTCCAGAAGAGTCACTGCTCTTGGCATTTACTCTGCTTTTTCATGTGATCTCTTAATAGTTATTACGTGTATTCACCTCAAAGTTTCATCTCGTTAAGATCCTTTAGACCCAGACACATTTTGGTCTTAATTTGTTCAATTCCAGGCAGAGAATCTTCTCTTTGCACCAACTGCTTCATTAGTGGCATAAATAAGCAGGACATTAAAAGCCAGCAGCAGTGGACCAATTAGAAAACTGACACATAGAGCAAAACTGTAACTGCTGTGCATATCAATAGAGTCTGAACAATGAATTAAACAACATGAGAATCAATCGTTTGAACTGGGATAAAGCGAAAAAACAAAAACATAAATAAAAAGTAAAACAAAAATTGAGTCACTGAAGTCCCTTTTAGCACAGATTGAAGTGGGTACAGCCAAGAGACGGCTGCATCTATTCTGCAGCCTGTGTGTGATGCTTCAGTGCCATTATGTTAATAGAAACTCTGTCTGTTTGGTCTCAGAGGACCTTCCTGACAGCAGCACGAGCCGATTACCGCTGCCTGTCTCTGGGACATTTCTTTGACGTGTCTCGTGTTTTCAGCATCAATCTTTGTTCCATTTCAGGCTCTATATTTATGATAAACATGCATGTACTCTATTAATATTTGGCCTCTTGGTGTATTTGACATTGTAAGAGGATAAAAAGCAATGAACGGTTCTCAGTGAATAACTCACATCTGGTTAATTATCAGTTTGTTTAAGAGTGATGTCAGCCATCTGGCTCTGTATTTTTATGTAAACACTGTCATTGGCTTCTTTCCTTGGTTAAATACAGGAGTTTGAAGGATGGAAGGATCTCATCTGTTTCTTATTTATCCAGTTTTGTCCTTACTAACACATTCAGTATCTTTTACCACTCTCTCCTTTTTATTGGCCCCATCACACAGATCCAAATCCTTTCTCTGACTGATTCCATTCTCGCGTCTGTCTTCACTGCTTTGTCATTTTCAGGATCTTGTTTTTGACATGCACAGCATCCTTTTTCTGTATCCACACACACACACTCACACTGTTAACACCCCCAAAATAACAGTAGTAAGTAAGAACAAGTACTGGTCTGTAAATTCATATTGTGTAAATGCAGGTTGCAGAAAGGGAATCTTGATTCACGTCACGTCCTTGGTTTCGCTCTCATGGCAGGCTGTCGGTGTCTAGTGCCTGATTAAACACAGAGAGATGAGATTGGCCCCCACCAGCTCTGTGCTTGGGAGAGAGAGCAGCATGTAGCCATGCAACACATACATACGGTACACGCCATGCAGTCACAGACAGGCTGCTTTTTATCCACTTTACACAGAGCTTTATAAGTGAAATTTACTTCATGAAATGCAAAAATACTTCAGTGTGGTCAGATTTCTGAAAAAGGACAAAAGTGACTCCATCTATGTCAAATATGTAGGAGTAAGAAAGGCACAGATGGCTAAAAATGTAACATATCAGGACATAAAGTATGTAAAGTTATGTAAATGAGAAAAACGAACATGTGACATATTGGTCGTTAGTTATTTATTTAAACACCGAGCCAAAATATAAAAAGCAGTGTGAAAAACGAAGTACACCCCATGATTCGAGAGCTTGTAGAACCACCTTTACCAGCAATAACTGGAAGAAATTATTTTCTCACTTTGTCAGTCTCTCACACGGTTGTAGAGGAATGCTAGCCCACTCTTCTTTACTACCTCAGTTCACTGACATTTGTCATTTTTCTTCTTTAAGGTCCTGCCACAGTATTTTAATCAGGTGGAGATCTGGACTCTGAGCTATTGCAACATCTTAATTCTTAAATCTTTTTTTTTTTCTGACATTTTGTTGTAGATTTGCTGCTGTGCTTAGAATCACTGTCCTGTTGCATGACCCCATCTGCACCAGCATGTCAGACAGATGGCCTCACATTTGACTCTAGAACACTTGGTCACCTCAGTGGCTCCACACAAAGGCGCTCAAGTCCTTTGCAGCTTTGCAAACTTAAGCTGTGCTGCCATGTTTTGTTTTTTTTTTTCACAGAGAAGAGGGTTTCTCCTGGTAACCCTTTGAAGCCATGCTTGTTCAGTCTTTTTCTAATTCATAAACTTTAACCCTGAACATGCTACAGTAGCCGGTGGAGTTTGAGATGTAGCTCTTGGGGGTTTTTGCAGTTTCTCTGAGCATTGCACAATCTGACTCTTGGGTTAATCCTCACCTGAGAAGACTGTGTTCAGTGTCTGTATTACTGATGTCTCCCCTCCTTGGCACTGTGTTAACACACAGCTGAATGGTCCACACCTACAAACTCATACAAACTTCTGCTACTTCTCTTGGTTTCTATGCAAACAGTGTATTTAGTTTTCAAACACTGTTCCTCTATTTCGCTTAATCACTGTGTGATGTGTTTTGCTTGTTTTGCTGTTCATCTGAGCTTTTATTTTCCTCATTTTAATAGCTGCTATTTTTTTTTATTATCATATCCTGATACATAAATTATATATAAAGCAATACATAAAGAGGGTGTACTTTACAAAAACTGTACAGTGGATAAAATGAGGACAAATCTGCTTACAATGCAATACTTCTTGTTCTTTGCAAAGGTTGCTGTTGTACGATGCTGCCCTTGTAAAAATGATTCTCTGCACACTAACTAATAAGCATCTTCTAAGGGAACAAGTGAGTGGCTTTTCCCAACAATTCTGAAACTGGATGAGGGTCTGCTGGGATTACATGGGGTCAAACTAATCATCTACTAGCATCTGTTTAGTATTGTAATAAAAGAAACTGATACCAATAAGTCACTAAGACTGAAAGTATCAGTCAGCAAATGCAGCTAAATATATACAACACAAAAAACAAATTAGTTTTAGAGACCTAACTAGCAAAGACATTGATCACTGCTCCCTTACACTACATAGACCCAACTATTGATTGTTAATTATAGTTTATTATTAATTGCAATAAAAACATTTGTTAGATCCACGTCTGTTTTTCACTCGCCCACATCATCCCTAAACAGAATATTATCAGGCCAAATAAACCAAGTCACCTGTGTGTGTGGACCAAAGAGTCTGATAAATAAACAGCATTTTAGGCCTAATGCCTTTAATTTAACTTTGTAAATCTACTCAAAAGATTCCAACAGGTGAGATTAACATCTGAAAATAGAGGGATGGAATCAGCTGTTTCCAAAATTTTAGTTTTTCTAAATGTTGAAGTGCAGTTACTCTGATTTGTGTGCATGTTTATCTAATAGAGTTGGGGTTTTTATTAGCAGGTAGTTTATGCCGCTTTATAATATCCAGATATGTTTGATATAGCTGTGACTTTGCTGTTCTCCACCAGGTTTAAAGTCAAAACAAAAACAATGTGGCTGTTTCCCTCTCAAACGTGTCCTTTAGGCTCTTCTCTTCCTCTCATCTCCGGCTCTCAGTCCCTGCTGCAGGTCAATTAAATCTGAAAGGTGGATGCTCTCGAGTCAAGCGTTTTTCTTTTTTTCTTTTGCTGAGTCTGTTTGAGACACAACCTGAAAACACCCAAAGCTCACATCACTTCATCTGTATGACCTTGGGCTGATGCACCAAGGCGAGCCTGTATATATTAATAATGCTTGAGCTGACAGAAGCTTTATGGGTCACACAATCTGTTGGTTCCTGCTCTGCAGCTATACAGTAGCTCCCTCTGTGTTTTTGATGAACTTTTGTTTGTTCTTTAGGATGAAACCTTTAATTTTACTCTCTGCATACTTGTACTACATACAAATATTGCCATATTCTTTTATATTTTGTCTCCCGTGTCTCACCCCAGGACGACTTCCTCTTTAGTGTGTCCATAGTGAGTGGGCTCACATGTGCTGTGCTGGCTGTGGCCAAGTTCATGCTGGGAAGAGTGCTGACTAGTCGGGCACTTATCACTGATGGTAGGACACACACACACACACACACGCACACGCACACACACACACACACACACACACACACACACACTGATAAGGCGCCTGTGTGTCTCTGCTTCTCACAGCAC